ATGTCTGGATCAGACATTTTTCTACGAAGACTTGGAATTTTTGTGGGTGTTAAATTCTCCCAATCATTATTTTGATAGGCGTATGTTTCAAAACTGGGAACTGATGTTTTCTTGGCCCTCACAACTCTTTGCAAAGAACTGCAAGAAATTGATTAGAATTAAATTTTCAAAATATAAAATATTGTTTTAATTCAGCTTACCATGTTCCTTGTGCAGGTGGTGGCTGGAAAATTTGTTCGTCATAGGCTTCATAATCGAATAACGAATTATGAATATATTCCGATTGATTACAGCTTAGAAAATTATTTTCATTATCCTATAAAATGTGGAGAACATTTAAATTTATTTTAATTGTTTTTTTTTTTCATATGCTTACACTATTATTATCCATTATGGTTGGGGCGTTACAAATCATGGGCGGTAGTTTTATACGCGGTATAAAATTTGAATAGGCAATTTTTTTATTTGTTGAATAAAAACTCAAATTTATCCAATGCGGCAGTGAGTAGTCATCAGCAGAGGTTACCGATGTATCTTTATTGTGAAATTTTAGTAGTGGCACTGCATGTAAAGGTTGTTCACCAACACATACCAAATCACTGCCAACACCATTGTCAATAATCTAGAAGTAAGAGAATAGTATTTAATAATAAGTATGAAATAATTACCAAATTACTTCTTACCCTTTGTTTTGTAATATTGGTTAGCTCTCTATCCACCTCGAACACACCCACGCCAGGAGTTATAACAACTGACAATTGACCAGTACGATCAAATGTACGATCTAAATAATGCTTTTCAAAGGTATTTAAAGAAATATTTAACACCTCGAGAAAGTTTCCCTGAGCCGCTGTTGAATTATAGGCAGGCGGTATTTTTATACCCTCTCTGGCATGATAATTTAATACCGTTGCTTGATAGGAGGTAAAAAGTTTTCTCAGCTGACTCAAAACCGTACACCAATCATCGTTACGTTCATTTTGTATTGCCACCCGATAGAAATCTTCATAGAAACGTCCCTTATAATCCATTTGTAGGCATTCTTGCATATGTTCTGGGAACTCGTCCAATGATTTGGCAGCATAGAATGTACGTGAGAACAGAACTATGGTAACTTCGTGATTACATCCCAGTTTCTTCCATTTGTGAAACAATTCCGTGAGGAAGCCATTTACTGCCTTTTCAAAGTACAAATCACCGTGTATATCGAAATCCCACATTTCCGATGACATTTGTAGGAACAGATAGACCATGGAGGTACTGCTGCGAAACACAATCTTCGTATCCTCTGTTATGACACCGCATGAGACACGTTCACCTTGTGACCACATTTCATATACTTGACAACGTATTTGCATGTCGTTATAATCGATTTTTTTATTTACATAAACGCAGGTGTTGGTCTGCAAAATGGCAAAGCAAGCAAGCATTTAACCAATTAATTTACTTAAATTTTTTTGTTTAATTATTTACTTACCAAGTACTTTTTCAAACGCCACATTTCCGATCGACCCATATATTGATCTTTAAATGTAATTTCAATTGAATCCAACGCAACATCGGCCACATCAACGACTCTCATAACAACATCGGTAAATGTGCGTAATTTAAATTGGGTCGCAACACCACTCTCTATGCTGATGGCATCGCGATGTTTGAGATCCGTAAACGTTGTGATTTGCAAAACTAATCGGGTATTTTCTTCATCCTCACGATGATAAACCTCAACAATATCCCCAGCTTTAACATCAGGATGTTCTTTGTTGTTGACCAAAAGATCGGCATCTGGAATTAAAAATAAATATTTGTTTACTATATATATATATATATATATATATCTAAAAAATTGGAGAGAATCTTTGAGGAAATTAAGAGACATCTTGGTTGGACTTTTTAGGTCTCCTAATTGTGTCCAACACTACCATATCTATAGTTACCAATACTACTATTTAATCTCACATGTCAAAAATAGGAAACAGTGAGTCCTTTTTTTAATTGGTCAGCATCCACATTTTCTTCCATGCTATTATACACATATGGGAAGCAGTTGACAGCTTTCCTAGAATGAGCCAAAGACTTTGGCTATACAATACCTCAGTATTGAGTGTTCTAGCCAGTGGCAAATTTGGTTTCAAATAAGTTGATGGCTTCAAGAGCTGCTTGAATAGGCAATAGATCCATATTTGAGTGCATTTTTATCATTAATGTTCAATTATACGTGGACAAAAAATTTAAATTGGATGGACAAAATAGAACCAAATGGAAAATTTTATGGACACCCATATATTCTGATTGGATTGGTTGCTGTAACAGCTCTATTGCGTTTACACAATGGGCTTGGGTCGTTTCGGATCGTAGACCCTTCTGTCGTGGAAACGATTGAATTGGTTACTTTGACTGACAACTTTGATCACCTTGCAATTGCGATTTATTTTCGTAGGGAACAAAATTTTCACCATCCATTTGACGTTGCAGGCATTTAATGAGAAAATACCACGTTGCAAGGTAGCATGTGACATGTTGCTCACGGCTTAATGTCGGGACGGCAGGGTCATTGAGCCTACGGAATGTGATGCAGCATCCAACGATCATACCATAGATTTCCCACACACAGATTCCAAAAAAAATACAACCAGCATAAAATAGTAAACAATAGTGCAGGTTGCAAGAAAACACTACAGCAATTTTCGTTTCCAATTGTATTTAACAATGTTTATCATTTCATGCAGCACCACTCCCTTTGTGTCACTTAGCCATATTACAACAAATATCCATATTGTATCATTTCAAGGACGAAAGAAGACTTACCCTTATAAGATTTCGTATGAGTATATAATTTATATAATTTCATAGTTATATCGTTTCCAGTATCCAAACAAATCCAAATATAAAAAAAACAAAGAAAATCCGACTTACAGAGGTAAGTCGACTTTTCCACCTATCTAATTTAAAAACGTTCCACTTGTAACGAACAGAGGGAGCAAGGAGAATGTGGCTGATAAATACGAACTCGAACAAAACAAAAGGACCGTTAGCTACCGATTAGCTAATTTAAAAACATCGCGTCAATATGTCGGTAGCAGCATCTTTGTCATTTTTACAGAGTTGTATTGCATCGTACTATAACTAATTTCTAAGTTTAAACAAAAATATTAACTAGAAAACTCAATAAAAAAATGGACGACGGCGTAAAATACCAGAAAAAATAACAAATTGCCGATGAAGTTCCAGAATAAAAAAATACTATAAAAGTATTTTGAAAATGTTACTGAAAAAAATTATATTAAAATTTATGTTTACCTTTTTCAATATTCATAAGAATTTAACTTGCCAGGAAATTAATTAGAAAACTAACTAAATGACCTAGCTCTTCCAATACTACATAAATAAGTTCCAAAAATACTATTTTTTTTTTTTGGTTTTGTAATAGAGTAAATAAAAAATCTATTACAAAATATCGCGTAGTCGTACATTTTCCATAATACCGGCAAAAATATGACTACAAGGAGTTTCGTAATAAGAGTGATTATGAGGAGGAGGTTATGCTACAAGCGATATATGTATTGATAAAACTTAACAACTTAACACTGAATTTCCGAACAGATTTGCAAGTTTTGCCTACCCTTTTCATAACTCAGAAATTGTTTCCATGAATATATGGTTAATGGCTTAACGGGTCGATTACGGATGGTAACCAGAGTTTAGTGGCGTTGCTAGTTGCCAAATTTGATCAAATAGAATTTTTCGGCAACCATTTATTTCTGATTGCAGCTTAGTCGTGTTTAGCAATATGAACTGAAATTTGTTTTGGAACTTTTGTTTTCGAATAAAAAAATTTTATTCTTCGCCTTTTCCTTCTCTGTTCATTTGGAAACCATTCAAATTTTACACAGTTTTTCCTCTATTAGCCGGAAAACTTCGCTCAAAACCACCGACATTGTGGATTGAGCTATGCGAAGATTGAAGTCATTGCTGTAAAAAACCTCAGAGCTGCCCACACCTTTAAGAGAGGAGGAATTGCTGTTGACCGCCGGGCTTTTGGGAAACTAGGGTTTAATGCCGATAATACGCCTTAAAGCTAATATGAGCAGTTGATTAAACGTTTCTCTAAACATTATCATCTACTCACAGTACGGATGGTAATTCTAATGGATTTGATTTATCTCTTATTTCTAGTTCCAGAAGTGTCAAATCAATATTATCGACAGCAACTGAGAACAGTTGATATTCATAATGTTAAGTTTTATTTCAGTGGCATTGTCAGTTGAAATCGCAACTTGAGTTTGGTTGCTATCCATAATAGACCCATTAGTTTTTCTTTTAGTCAGGTACACACTATAATTTTGGACTATCAGTTTTTTTATCGATTATTGACTCAAAAACCATGAATATTTCCGTGGTTGTCTGATGAAAGACGAACATGTGAGGCCACAATTTAGGCAAGACTCATTCAAAAGTGTTCACAGCGATTTGCTGTCAAGTTTTAAAAAACCATGTATTGTGTGTTGGTGAACTATGCCACATTTTCCCCAATAATAAATCAGACGTTAACTAAAAAACATTACATTCTTATTTTTATAAATCTCTTTATTTATAGGTCTTTCTTTATAAATCTTTAATATATTCTAGAAAATGCATAACTATTTCAATAAAGACAATATTGATGTTTCTTGTTTATAATATAATTTAAATTCCAATATATTTGTTTACACCTATTCGTGTAAGAAAAAACAAAAAAAAAGCAATTAATAATTTAATTATGGCCATGTGATCAATAACAAAAAATAAATGAAATTGTAAGGAAATTAAAATGATTAATGACAATATTAAGTTGCGTTTTGTTGTTACTTGTGTTATAACACGAACAATATTAATTAATATATATGTTGTTTTTTGTTTCTCTATAAATGACTTTGGTTTTGATGTTGTAGCTTAGGGTTCATTTTAATTCATTGTGTACTTTTTCTGCATAATATTTACTTGTAGATATTTATCAAAGAAATGCACATTTATTGTTTCTTCAAATAAGCAGTCAGTGAATCGCGATCCCTTTCTAACCAGGCTGCGTTAAGGCGTATAGTTTCGACAGCTTGTGAAACCGTTCTTTCAGTTCCGGGGAATTGTTTGGTCTTAAAGAATTCTTCAACTTCTAGGGCACGTTGTTCTGAAGCAAAATTCTCAATGAGATATTTAATCAGACGTGCCAACAAAAATCCACCCTGTAATGAAGAGTGAGGTGAAGCAGAAAATATTAAAATAAAAATTTTACCAAAAAAACGAAGTATATATACAATATATATATATATATATATATAGGGGAGAGGGGGCACCTTTGAACACTTTTTTCTTTCAAGCCTCAAAATTTATGTTATAATTTTTGGTTTCTTATAAGTTTTAACTAATATGTACATGTGTAAGCTTTAAAATGAATATACATATGACATACTTTAAGCTTGATATACATATTTTATTACTATTTTATTGGACGAAGTCCAAGTGTTCAAAACTGCCTCCCCAGGGGGGGCACCTTTGAACAAAGCTTGGTATTTTTGAACGGCATGGTTTTTTACAGTGTCTATGTTTATTTATTAAAAAATATTCGAAAATTAAAAAATTCTGATCAAAATGTATTAAAACATAAAATGCCATAAAAACAAAATGTTAAGGAATGAATTTCAATAAATAAAATAAAAATACAACTAATTTCGTAATCTTATTAGCCCATTTGAAATTTTTGAGAAATCGAAGCCAAAAGATAAAAACTCCGTTTTTACTGGAGTTTACTGGGTATGTTCAAAGGTGCCCCACTTGTGGTATTTTACGAAATTTATAATATTTTTTTTTTTTTTTTTTTTTTATAAAATATTTATGAATGAAAATACATTAGATATGTTTGAAATGATTGTTGGAATGCAAAAAAATTGTTTAACGAGAGAAAACTATCACTGAATTCTACCTGCGCTCTTACAACCAAAAAATAAAAAGTTTACAATTGCAGTGCGAAAACATAGTCACTCATGTAAATTTTGTAGACAACTGAAAAAGCTAGCCAAAATGGTTTACGCAGAAAAAGAACAAGATTGGCACATAAAAAAATATGGCACATAATATAAATATGAGTTTAATAATTTAGTTAATATTTTAGTCACAAAATATGAATACTGTTGCGTAAATTGAAATTATACAATATCCAAAAATAAATTTTGTTGTATTTTTATGCAAGCGCCATCTATTAATATATGGCAAAATGTTAGAGGCATAAGAATGATAAATTTTTGTGAGCATAGTTTTAGGCGTAGATGGACTTTTAAATAACATTTCCAGGCTGGTTTCTAGAAAAAAAACTCGAAACTAGAATCGACAAAAGATCCGAAACTAGAATCCACAAATTGCTAAGTGTTGTAAAAAGTTCCCAACTACTGCTCATAATTACGATTTGTAGGAAACTATTGCTGTTAATACAATTTTATCAAAAACTGTATTAAAAAACAACCTCCCAATACATAAATAGTTACGATACACATTATTACGATCAATCGATATCAGGGTAAAAACTCAACGAAATATTAATATTTGCACTTACCTGATATTGTTCCAAGAGTTTTTGATGATTATCCTTAAAGAATTGCCAGGCCATATCACGACCTTTGGGATTAACAGCTACGGCAACAATGACAAAAACTGAATCCTGGGCACGAACTTCACCCTATATATAAGTATATGGAAAATAAAAACATCCTCCGTATTTAGCATTCTAATTATATATGTGACGTTATGAATAACATACCGACATGGCAAAATCGATCACTTTGCGTAATAAATCAACATTGCCAATACAACCAAGGGCACGCGAAATACGATCTTGTTCTTCGTGTAAATCGGTGGCACGATATAATGCAAGCATTTCATTGAATATACATTCATCGCCGTCTTGAAGAACGGCTTTGTAGCAAGTGGAGCGTAAATCGGCGGGCACTGGGCAAACATTGTTGGCATGATCACGGAAACTGCAAAACAACATTTCAATGTTTATTCCTTACATAGACTTAGTATTAATTTTATTATTACCGTTTCTTGGCCTCATCAATGATGTCCTTGCAACGGAAAGATACAAGACGAGACAACACAAGACTGCGCAAAAGTGTATCCAAATGATTTTCTCCATCGCGTACCTCCCAACCAAGACGCTCAGCCACTGGACGATACAATTTTTCTCCATATTTGTTAAAGTGGTCCATAAGATCCGTGTGTGAAATAAGAATGTGTAAATTCGACAGCGAATTTGTAATGGCAGTCCACACAGTGTAATTTGTTTCATTACGATAGGAATCGATAAGTTCCAACACTTCGGCAGTACTAGCCTGACCAGCTTGTACCATGGCAAACATATCATCAATTAGACCCAAACGATCCAAGGGTGGCAATTCCATGTTGCGAACGGCTGGCATTAGCTTTTCCAACATATCTTTGGAGTAACGTGTACGATAGTATCCTACAGTTCCAGGATTCACTTTGATCCAATCCTCGGGACTGACATCGTCCAATGTCACTTCCATTGACTTCTCGTTAAGAAGGAACGTTTTGGCAATGCTTTGGGGATTTTTTGAGGTAGACACAGTGATTGGTATCACCCAGATGTAATCACCATCAGGTTTGGAACCATCGGCGGTAAATTTACTTTGGCTTAGGCGCAACAAACGTTTATTGCCTTCCAATTGTTTATCTTCCACACTAACAACGGGAAAACCTTTCAGTTTTATCCAAGTTGACATCACCTCGGCCACGGGTTTTGAACTGGCCTCTTGCAAAGCAGCCCACAGATCTTCGGTGCATGTATTCTTATACTGATGGCGTATCAAATAGGTGTGCATACCTTTGCGGAAATCGGCTTCGCCAATATAATCGTGTAACATGCGAATAACCGATGCACCTTTGTTGTAACTGATTTCATCGAAAATCTCATCTATCTCACAGGGATGTCCCACAGGCACCTCAATGGGATGGGAATTTTTCAACGAGTCCAATTCCAGAGCACGTGTATACATATCAGTGACAAACTGTGTCCAAATGTCATATTCGGGGAACAAATGGTTGACGCAAAGGAATTCCACAAAAGATGCGTAACCTTCATTTAACCACAAATGGGTCCACCATTCCATTGTAACCAGGTTTCCTGAAAATAAAATTGCATCAAATCGTATCAAGATCTGGTTTAAGGTCTCTTTGGAAATAGCATACCAAACCATTGATGGGCAATTTCATGACCCACTGTCAAGGCAATCGATTGCTTGCGCATTAGCGATGTATTCTTGGGATCAACCAAAACAAAGGTTTCACGATATGTCACCAAACCCCAATTTTCCATGGCACCAGCCGAGAAGTCCGATATGGCAATGAGATCCATTTTGGGCAGGGGATAGGCAATATTGAAATACTCCTTGTAATATGGCAAGACCTTTGTGGCCACTTCCAGGGCAAAAAGTCCTTGTTCCTTTTTGCCAACCGGGGTATAGACACGCACCAAGACACCATCTTCCGATTTACCCTCAACATAGTCATATTCACCAACAACTACAGCCACCAAATAGGTGGACATGATGGGTGTGCGATCAAAGCTAATGCGACGCAAACCACCTTCAACTGAATCCTCCTTCACTACGGGCATATTGGATAGGGCAACACGATCTTCGGGCACAACAAGTGAGACATCAAATGTTGCCTTAATGGCCGGTTCATCCCAACATGGAAAACAGCGTCTGGCATCGGTTGCTTCGAATTGTGTTACGCCAGCGTAACGTTCCTCGCCGCCTTGAGTAAAATATTTGCTGCGATAGAAGCCCTTCATTTTGTCATTCAATTCACCAGAAAAATGCATATTTAATTTAACTTCCGCCCCAGCGGGCAACTCCCTTTCGAAGTGTAACGAAGCAGTTTCATTTTCGGTGGAATAGTCGATTTTTTTCGGTTTCAAAATTTCACCATTCAATTCTAGACCACTTTCGCTAATGCTGATATCCAAGGCATTTAAGGTAATGACATTAGTTGGTGAATTAATCTAGATGGCAAATAATAAAATAGAATTTGAAGTTTAAATATAAATATAAGTTTGGGTGAGATCGGTTAGTTCAATAATTAAAAAAATATATGAAAGAAGAAGGTTCCCTGCCACAAATGCGGGAATGGGCAACGGAGATGAAGATCGCTGTAGGAATTATCAAGATCACATATCATCCAAATGATGAGCTAGAGGATTTGAGTACTTAGTGGTAAGTCAACTGGCTTTAAAGCTTCTCAACGAATATAGGTCCCATTCCAGCACCAAGAAACTATTGAAACACATCTAAATTAGAAATGTTTATATTATAAAAAAGTGTGGCAAAGTCTTCAAGTGGAATGTTTGCATTTTCATACTGCAAACTTATTTTTTTGTGGAGGAGGTTCGACAGTTATTTCCATTAAGACAAAAACGTATGACACATTTTTATACGAAATCATTTTAAGTCGATGTAGCTTTACTTCTATACCTAAGAGAATAAATCAAAATATTATAACGACCTTGGTTAAATCAAGGCCTATCGCCGCCGGTCAACGCATTCCTTTTCACATAATTGCCATTTTTTGTTTTTTCCTCGTGTGCATGAATCTTTTATTAGAAATGTATGTGTTATCATAAAACTAGTATTGGAAAAGAACATTGACTCTTTGACTCAGACAGGCTATTGTCTTGTTTTTGGGGAATTGTGGTAACGGTACTGTTTGCAAATGTGATACCGGTTAAACCAGGTAGATAGTTCGTTGCCAAGAACTTTCGTTTGTATTTTGTTTTTCTTTAAAGGCAAACCATTTCATGAAACATTCCTTGACGTCAGCTTGAAAAAACATGTGAACAGCAAGAGTCGATAGTTATTGTTTTAAGATGAATTAAAAACAAGTTAAATTAATTATATAACGGTATCTCATATATCATTATAATACTCTTATACAATACTTGTTTAAGCTTGATATTATATTTTAATATGAAACATGTGAACAAATTCTTATTGAAAAATACATCAAATTTCAAAAATCTACCACGAAAATTGGAAAAAAAATATAAGAGGAATATATAAAAACAAGTAAAAAATTTTTAGTCGGATTTGCCGACAGATATATGTATATCATCAGCCTATGGGCTTGGTAAAGGTAATAGGTTTGCAGAGTTTGGTTTACTCCCTTCGGGAGTTATCATTGGCACCAACCGGCCAGACAGACAGAGAGTGACGAGTGAGAGAGTGTCTGAAACGGATTTGGTTCAAAGCTGGCTTGTGACAGAACGATTGCTCCCAAAAGCCGAGCTTAAAAATGATTTCCAAGCGCGTCGGTTCCGAGATGTTGTCTACTACTTGATCTTTCCATCGGATTCGTGGCCTTACCCTTCTGCGTGAACCATAACTTGACTCGCTTTTATATGCCTTTTGAGTGGGGGGGCATCCTCGTTCATTATCACAACATGACCTAGCCAACGTAGTCGCAGCAGATCGATCCGTCTGACTATGTAGATGCCCAAGAATAGATGGTATAGCTCATGATTCATTCCACCAGATCGGCCCATAAATCTTCCAGAGAATTTTTCTCTTAAACACTCTAAGAGCTACATCATCTGCTTGCGCATGCTTCAAATCTATACAACAGCACGATTAATATCAGCGTCTTGCAGAGTGTGAATATCATCTGTTGGCAAGCACTATCCTTCTCTGGTTTTCAAAGCTAATGTGAATAGTTTTGTTTATTGCGTTACCGATGTATATAAAATCATTCACTACTTTGAAGCTGTAGTTTTCAAGCTGCTCCATAGTTGGTCCGAGTCTACTAGACCTCTTTCGCGTTAATACCATCAGCTTGGTCTCCTCACCATTTACTACCGCCTGTCTCACTTTGTCAGACTCCTTCTCAATTCGTTCAAAGGTGTCTGTTACCGCTTGCAATGTTCGACCCATTATGTTAAAAATGGGTCTCACGCCTAACTTTCATCTTGTCTGAATCCTCGTTCAGTATTGAAGGGCTCCGAAAGGTTATTTTCGATTATACCAGCTGACCTTGTGCCAGTTAAAGTTACATGTGTTCTAAAACTAATATTTCGATGAGGCACATGTTTGCTGTATCAAAATGTATATATACTCATTAGCCATAAGTCTAAGTTCTGACACAACGTTTTACCCCTGACTAAAATATAATATCGTACTTAGAACACATGTGCCTTTGGACTTAATTCATTTCAGAATATTTGGAGTCGATTTAGCAATGTAATAAATATGTTTTCCGCAGGCAACTTCCTCTCAGTGGCTATAAGGAGAATTGATACCGATTTGAATCGATACCTAATCAGAAACGAATCATCATGGTCCAATAAACGGGCCGTGTAAGAATCGAACATTATCGACCATTTTGGTAGAAAATCCCTCAAACTGTAATATTAACGTTTTCACACGAATCATGTTTTAAAATAGCGACTATCAGCCCACTCATTTCGCGGCAGTGGACAAATTTACTGCTGTTTCGAATGACATTTTCAGACAGAGGGGAATACGGAAGCTTCCACCTTAGTCAAGAAAGCATTCCGGCTGACAGAAAATACGCCTCTACTGACTCAACCGTAAAAATATATATTTTTTCGGGAAGAAGGTCTATTCCCGTCGATATCATAAAGGAAACATTATTATCTTTGTAAAAACTAGGAGATTATTGCAGTACAAGAACAGACCAAAAGTTGAGGCATACGCCAATTTTTAAATACTGATATTTATATCGAAATTTTATATGCTTCATCTGAATACACATATTAGGAAATTAAAATAAAAAAAATTAATTGAAATTGTTATAAAATATTTAGAATGTAAATACCCTAATAGATCACAGCTTTATGTACATGTTATATAGTTCTGGCGGGAGTAGAATGCGTAATCGACTGAGAATATTTCATTGCTACATTATGGAGTTTTGCATATTTGAATGTTACAAATGCGACAAACCCTCATCCCACAATTAAATGTAGAGTGTAAAACTTGATTTGAAATGCCCCTTTTGGGAATGTCAAGCACAAACGTAGCCTTATCTGAAATTATGTTACTGATACATTTTATTGGTCACTTATATAGAACAAAAAGATAAGAATGTTATATATATATATAGTAAATGGAGTACTTTTGTTTAAAATGTGATTTCTAAAGATATCCAACCAGCAATATTTTGCAAATATTTGTATTAAATCGTTGTTCATATGAATGTAACAAAATTATAAAATCAATAGACAATTGTTTATATGTGACTATTGCAATTAGCAACGAGATATTGCGACAGGCACTGATGTCAGATAAGTCATAAAAGTATTTTTATTTTCTATTGTTTTTATTACTCCCTCGAAGATAAACACAACTAGAAAATATATATATAGGATGCACTACAGTTATGCATACATATGAAAGTGAATGTGGCACTTTTTGACGTTGGCAAAATAACACACTCACAGCCACACTCAAAAACCTCTTCCTGATCACGAAAAAAGTGAAAGTACCACCACAGAAGAAAGGTTCAAAGTGTAATCCAAGATTAAAAATGTTTACTTTATAAAAAAAGATAAAAGAAAACAAACAAAATATTTTCACATTGAGAATACTTACTTTCAATTGTACACTGGTCTTTCCCTCAAAAGTGAAAGCTTCCAGATTTGGTTTCAATTCCAATTCATAATGAGATGGTGTCACATTTGTGGGCAAACGTTGAAATTCCTTTTGTTTGTCGGATGCCATATTCTTTAGATTTTCTATTTCCTCAGCGGTTAAAATATCCTTGGATGAAGCGACGTCAACGGCGGATGACAAATCAGCAGATGTTCGTATTAAAATCGAGCGATACTTTTCACACAGATCGCCCAGCAATGGTGTTTCACAATTCTTTAAGGATGGTCTTCCAAATGTGGCAGCGTTATAGTCACGATAAAATTGCTTTTGCACTTTAACGAATTGTTTACCCGATATTAGGGAATTGAGATGACAATTTTCTATGATGGATAAGTGGAAATTAATTGCTAAAATTATTTTTCTTTAAAGATTTTTTAAGCTAATCCGCCAATACACACATTATTAATGCAATTGCACGTACATTAATTGGCAACGTTTGAGAATTATTGACCAAGTGGAGGGAGGGAGGGCGGTCACAAATTTGTTGTTATTCTTGCGGAATTCGGACAACAATAACTAAAGCACATCAAAATCACTGTGGCTGTTTTTAGGACCACGGACTTTTGGGCTGGATTTTTTTAGTTTGGTTAACGGGACTGTTGGACTAGTAATTTAGAATTGATTAAATTCAACAACAATCATTAAGGATGACAAGGCAATAAACACTATTGTACACGGATGGTGGTCGTACCTTTACACAGATGTTGTTCAAAAAAATCCGTATTTTGTATATCTAAGCATAATTTAGATAAATCTGCAATAATTTTCAAATTATTTTTCTTTTCCTTTTAATTTAGTTTACGGATAATATTACGATATTATGGACCGAAGAAAGAAAACTGAAATATGATTATGATGACTTGCTATGGTCGTTGCCGGTCGTCAAAGTTTTCATAAAGTACAGGGTTGCCAAGCCGAAAGAACGCATTTTTCTCGGCAAACAAATGAATTTGCCAAGCTTATTTGTTGTCCACAATGGTAACGGCAAACGAAAGTTGATGGCGATATATCAGCCGTTGTACAAAACATGCTTATACATGTTTCGGATGTATTTTTTACATATTAATAACAAATGTTAGAGCCAAGGTGTATGCATGAATTACAGTATTTTTCGGTTAATTGCACATCAAAATTTGCACAAATTTTTGTTCAATTAACCGAGGAACCAATTATCCGAACCCGCTTAATTGAATAGTTTGTTCAAATACAGAAATCACGTATAATTGAAAATACTAATTATTTAAAAAAAATCCAATGTCCTTAGCAATAAACATACGTTTTGAATTAGTAAAGATGCCACCTAGTCTCACAAATTATGTAAAATATGTACATATGTAAAAAAATGGCAGATTATTTTTCAATTATTATTATGCAATTAACCGGTGAAAAGAAAAATGAAATTTATTTTTGATTACATGAATTTTGAACCAATTAAGCGGGAAAATTAATTAACAAGGTTTAATTATCCGAGAAAATTTACATGTATTTCTCTATGAAATATTTTTTGCCCCATCATGTGGTTCAATTAAGCGTGGAAACGAATTAACCGTCAATTAAACGAAAAATACTGTACAACTAACTATATTACAAAAACAACATTAACTCTGTCTGTTTACTCGATATTTGGTAACAATTGTTACCAAATGTTGTCTGTTTACCCAAAAATCCAGTAAAAGAGAGTCAAGTGAGAGAGCATGTTTGACAGTTGAACAACAGCAAACTTACTGGAGTTTACTGAAAGAATTTTATGCAGTAAGATTTTGCAAACTCAGCCATTTTTGGATCAGCTGTTTTATGACCAAACACAAAAAATATTCAAAACATTTTTTTTTAATTTGCAAAGTTCAATTTGAAGTTAAGTTGTATAAAAATTACAGAAAATAAAAGAAATTTCGTAAGTAATGCAAAGTTTCATTAAATTAGAAACTAATTCCTTATATATTTTTAGGCAAGTTACAGATAGAGTGCAATGTATTAATGCAGGAAGCCGAAAACATACCAAATCAATTTTTCTTTTATTATTCATTTTATTTTTAATATTAAATGCAATACAAATAATTGTGTTCGTCCTTTGTTTGTTGTTTATTTTGGCGCAAATCAAATGTTTTCTTGAATCAGCGGTTTATTTGCTAAATCTTACTAGATGTTGTCTGTTTACATTTCTCAGAAAAAGAGCAAAGGAGACTAAAACTCTCTGAACTAGAACTTACTGAATAAATGTTACTGGAAAAGTAACCAGACACACCTATTATTGTTATAGAAAATAAATTATCATTGCGTGAAATTGAATATTAGGGTTGATTTTTTTCGGAAAATATATAAAATATTAATTTTAATTTATGGGTCGATTACGGATGGTAACCATAGTTTAGTTGTTGTTGTTGTTGCAGTTTATATGAATTGTATATTTCCTGTTTAATTTTCCTCCAGTTCTGTCTCCCGATTTAGAAATGCAGCTACCTCCACTGGCTGTAACCACAGATCTTCCGGAGTGAGGTGAGTAGATTTGGCTGGGCAATTGAATAGGTGCAGTGTGGTATGAGGGCCTGTACCACATGCTGGGCAGACATCCTGCACCTGGTCATCAATCCGTGCCCAATACGAATTGAGCCGACTGCACCATCCAGAACGTAACTGGGCCAAAACTACTCTAGTTTGTCTGGGCAGCTGACGTTCTTCAGCTGCTATGGGTGGGGGGTGAGCTCCGAGAACGGCCTTCACTTTGTAACCGTTCAGCGATGCGGCTACTGCATCTGTATGAATGCCATTCAAAACTGCTCGATAGGCAACTTGATCTAGAGGCTCCCTTTTGTATCGTTGGACCTCTCTCTCTAGATCATGCAGATCCTTCCACGCCTGGGTGGGGTAATCCTATCCATCATATGATGGTTGGGATGATCGTCCCTGAAACACCCGAGCAGGTACTGCAACGAAAGCATATTGCTATGCTGACGTACGGGAAGGATCTTCGTCTCCTCATGAAGATGGTCCACTAATGTCATGAGGAGGCACCCTGTCGCTGTCCTCAGGGCGGCATTCTGACATGTCTGAATACTTCTCCATTGCGTATCACTGGAATTCGCAGACCACACTGGAACCGCATAGCTAGCCACAGACCGACCTTTCGCTTTGTAAGAGGTCAACAAGGTTTCCTTATCTGCGCCCCAAGTGCTACCGGCAAGCGACTTGAGACGTGAAAGGCCATTTCAGAGGAATGAATGACAGAGATTGGCGAACCTCTTCTTTTGGGCCCTTGCACACACTTTGAAGAGAGGAGGAATTGCTGTTGACCGCCGGGCTTTTCGGAAACCAGGGTTTTATGCTTCAACTAAGTACACAACGGCATATTTAGGTAGCCCAAAATACGTCTTAAAGCTAAAATGAGCAGTTGATTGAACATTTCTCAAACATAAACATCTACTCCCAGTACGTTTGGATTTGATTTATCTCTTAAAAGTCTTGTAATAGGTGATTCGCTTTACAAATCATTTTCATCATCAACAAAATAGTTCCAATGAGCTTAAAATTAGTTTTTCTGACATATTCAATTCTTTGATTGTTTACAATATTTCTGGTTGATGAAGTTTCAAAAACGTTTTATCGACGGCAACTGAGAAAAGTTGATATTAATAATGTTAAGTTTTATTTCAATGGCGTTGCTAGTTGAAATCGAAACTGGAGTTTGGTTGCTTTCCATAATCGACCCATTAATCTTATTAATTTTTCTGGTACATTTTGGAACCAAATGCAAGAAAGACCCAATTCTTGTCCAATTGATATGGAATTTTGCATAAGTTTCCAAATTTTGTATAGAGTGATGTAAATCTTTATAAATTTATTTGAAGGATTTGAATACGATTATAAAATATAAGCAGTCGGAATAACACCAAATACGAATTCAGAGCATCTCCTTAAAAGAAACCCATATTAAAATGACTTTTTACGGGGTTAACCTACTCTATGAGGATTTTTTGACATGTATATAATGGAATTGACAATTGAAACCCACTGGGTTAACGAAATCCGGTACAATGTAAACGTACTATAACCCTTTATTGCATGACTTTTTCTTTCTGGCGATAAAAAAGAAACTAAAAGTGATAAATTTAGTGGTCATAATTAAGAAAAAAATATTAAAAAATGTTTAGTACACATTTATACTATAAATTCAACAAAAACTGCAAAGTGATGAAAAATTCTAGCATGTGATATTTTTTATTAAAATTCAAACTTTTTCATAAAACAATTTAAATAACAAGAACATGTATTTGAAACCTTCCGAATACAGTTTATTAAATTTCCATTAGAAGCATATCAATTACAAACAAAAAATTGAAAAAGGCGAAATCACCTTTTATAGCAGTTTCTACTAAAAAGGGCAACTGCGGACTTTGAGCACGATTTACATTTATTTACGTATGTTAAAAGACTTACCGAGGTTAGATTAACCAAAAGTTAATATATTTTATAATTGGGTGCTCCCAAATTCAACGAATGGAACACAAGCTTAAAAAATGCGACCTGGGTCATAAGGACCACGTACCTTATATTCATCTGGATTATTACCGTAAGGCATATTGAACTCTTTTACAAGTTATTCCAAAACTTTATTAAACAATAATCGTTTTCTGTGTAATACAAATTACCACTGAAGACAAATACAAATATTGGCTTTATGAGCACATGTTCCAAACATATCTTAATAATACGTTGTAAAATAATGACTAAAGTGTACACATTTTGCAAAGTTACACCAAAGAATCCATATATAATATATATATATATATATAATATTACTGTATTTTTAAAAGAGTAGTTAAACTTAATAACAAACTGGCTGTTGAAGTAGATTCTGTAGCTGGTTTTCTATTCCACTCTCAAATCCCATCATGGTACGGACCATGGTGTGTACGGGATCCCTACGTAAGGAGAGGTCGCCCCTCGGTCGGCTGGGGTGGGGAAGAGAGGCGTGGGAACGCCGAACATTTTACACAAGATTTTGATACAGATTCCATATAACGATATAAAAGATGCGTAACATCGCAATATACTTTCGATCCATTGTGAAAAACATCTGTACAGAAAATTGAAATATAGGGTTATGCTTTGGCATATAAACGACCCGTTCCATTTTTTGGTAATTTCATGGTTATAGACAAATTTTCCAAACGAAATTGATTTAATTTGACATTTCATTTTGTAAAAAACCTTTCCCAAAGATTTTTATGTATAATTATTTTAAGGGCTGCACTTTTTGGGAAATCTACATGTTCCATTGGTACATGAATACCCCTACTTGTTTACAAATATCCAGTGTTGTCTTTGAGTATGTGAATTTATTATAAAAACAACATATTTCATTGACTTGGCATCCCTGTTAAAAATATGGACGAAATGGATGACTCTCCAAAATCAGTTTTTTAATAAATTATGTAAATCAATAGAACTCACCGGTCTTGGACTTCCAAGCCTGTAGAGCAGTTCGTGCTCCACATCTTATAGCGTTTTTATACATATTACCACCACCAATCACTAAAAACTAATTAACAACGGAGAACGTTACTTTTCGTAATTCTATTTATCCCATTTGCACAGAGTTGCCAAGTTTTTCTGCATATGTAAATAAACGGGAACAAAATTTCGATAGCATGTTAACATTTAAATTTGTTTTTATTAAAATTCCATAAATGTATATTAAATACGTTCCAGAATCTGCTTCGATCAACTTCGGAATATATCTATTCACATTTGGCCTATTACCGCAATCAGAATCGAAAACAATTTCGATTATTACAGTTTTCCTGTAGGTTTTGGAATAGAGCAACATTAATTTTCTTTGCCGTATCTCGCACTATATTTTATTTTTATTTTATATAATCTGAGTAATACTGGTTTTGTTTCAGAATATCCAATAATCTCCTTTAACCGAAATTGCTTTCGATGTTCACTTTATAAATTTGAAAACTACTTTTTGACTACGGGAACAGATCATCTTCATTGTACAAAATTATTATTATTTTCGATTTATGAAAGAGAGCAACACATAAAATAAAAAATTGTCATTTATAATTCGAATTGCGCGTAATCAAGAATTAATGATGTGTCCGCTCCCGTACACAAAAACTGGCAAAATCGTTTTATAAGCGGTCTCTTTCACTCCATGAACGACGAATTACTAGTTTCTGATCTTTTTTTAAATACTCATACATTTTTCGGAACAAGTCAAGTTTAGGGGCTCCAATCGGATCATTTTGAATTTTTTACCAATTCTATTTCATGATTTTAGTTGGGGAAATGCATACTTCCCGGGATATTGTGCCTTGAACCACCAACGCAATATGGGTATAATTTTAAAGGTTAAAGCTATCCCATAGGATTCCCTAAACTTGACTTAAGAGCTCATTTTTCTCATATTTGAAATCTTGCCTTTGTATACATATTCAAATAAGAAAAATAATAAAACCCAAATGTTTATCGTTTGACGAGAAGATTTATTTTCTTTTGTTTGACAATTTTTTGTAATTTTTCACATTTCTCTCTCTTCGATCTTGTAGTATTTTTAATTTTATTTATGAAATAATAACTAAAGTAAAATGCCACGAAACATTTACTTGGAGCGGGCAGCCAAAGCACTCAAATCGGCAATGCACTTGTTGAGTGTATCCTTTTCTTGTTGAGGGGTGATGGAGGCCATAACATTATTGACAATCCAATCAACCATATGTTTTTGGTTAAGACGACGTTCAATGTGACGGCATTCAACTTGGTAATCCAAGCGACGCTTGACCTGCGAAAATAAGCAATTTACATCACGAAATTAGAAAAGGCCAAAACCAGGGCGAGGTCCTCAAACTTACTTCATTGTAAACGTTCATGGCGCGTTCACGGAAAGCAGCTTCCAATTGGAGAGCAACATTCTCTTTCTTGGCATCCATGAGCAAGAGAGAGCCTTCGGCACGCCATTGTTCCTTCTTTTCGGCTTCAATGGATTCTTGAAGGTTCTTCAATTCATCCTCACGGCCTTGTTTCCATTCGGATTCGATTCTGTCGATTTCACCATCAGCCCATTTGGCAGCGGCTGGGCCGAGCTTCTTAACGGCAACGACGGCCATGATGGCCAAGGAAAGACCGCTGTAGTATTCGTGTTCCATAACATAGATTTCCTTAGAGCACAAATATGTGATCAAACCAACACCGAAGGTGTAAGGGCCAGTAACACCGGTCTTGTTATAGAAGAACTGGAACCATTCTTCTGGAATGAAACCCAAACGCACCTTGCCGGGGTGTTCGGGACGAACGGGGCGATCAGAACCAGCAGCGGTAGCAGCGGCTCTGGCAGCCATAGCGCCCATGGGACGTTGAACTGAAAAACGAGAAAAAAAACAAATACTTTATTATTTCTACGAAAATTATCCAATCACACCACCCCAAGCACATTATACTCCATTTTTGCAAATGCCATAACATTTTTGACAGCATATGATGAGAGCGACCGAGTGATTACATAAACTCGAAATAATTTGCAAAGTCGAAACACTGCTTGATAACTATAACTGTCCGCCATTGTTTGTTAGGTTAAGAACACATTTATTTATTTTGATTCAAAGTGTAAATACTTTTATTTTGAATTTATTATTAAAATTATTACCAGAAAGAATTGCGGCCCTCGACAGCATTTTTGTGTGAATTTTTTTCTTTTAGTCCAGAAAGAATTGACGTCTGGCTCTCCGACAATGTTCTCCTACAGCAGAAAAAATGATTTCTTCAAGGGATTAGTAAGTCGATTTTCCACTTATCGATTAGTCGATTCTTGTTGGGTTTTCGACCAAAAATCAAATTCGATTTTTATAGTATGTTTATAATGTCCAAGATTGGTACTGCAAAAAAATAAAAATTGTATTATTTTGCAATTTGAAACAAAAAAGAATTAAAAACAAAATTAATGATGGAAAAACGCAGATTTTTAACGAGCTTGTTTGGTAACACTTGTATTAACATTTTCTACATTAATAAAAAATCGTATGAATTTTTTTATTATTCCCTAAGCCATAGGGCTAACCCAGCGTATACAAGAGACAGAACAGCCGAAGACGATTGTCAAAAAATTAAAATTGTCTTTGTGAAGTAGGCGTCCATACAATTTGAAAACAAATTCCCAAATTCATGGATGAAAATAATAATTTTATTCCTTTTTCGTGAATTTGCACTGCAAGAATCTACTAGATTTTACTAGTTTCTTCGATATCATATTGGAAAATTCGTAATCGTAGTAAAAAGTAGTAGATTCTTGCAGTACGGGAACAGACCAAATATTTTGCAAAACTATTTGAAATTTAAAAAAAAAAATTAATTGACAAAAATTTATGGTCTGTTCCCGTACAGCAAAAATCTACTCGGTTTTACTATTCTCTTCGATATCATAAAGGAAATTTCGTTATCGTAGTAAAAAGTAGTAGATTCTTGCAGAACGGGAACAGACTATTAAATGTATTGGTAAATACGTTTGTATCTTTGCTATTGTCTACAGAACAAGCTGTCTGTACTATTTTGTTCGATATCATAAAGGAATAGTTGTTATCGTAGTAAAAAATAGTAGATTCTTGCAGTACGGGAACAGACCAAGTGGGGTTTTACACTCTTAGTCATGAGAGTGTTGATAAACTTCTCAAAATAATAATTAATATGTCCCCTTTTCCACATGCACATTTTTATTTGGCAAATTCTGAGTTTGTAGGCGAGAGGGGTGCGAGGAAGAAAAACAAAACTTTGTCTGTTCAGAATTTGCGGTACACGGAAATTCTGCTTTGCTCTGTTCGTTGAAAACAATTTTGTTGGCATTTCCTTTTTAACCTATTCGTTTTACTGACACACAACCGGCGTTTGTTTACAAAACTGTTGCTTTAATTTATGCAAGTGAAATTTAATTTTTAATTTTTGCAATTTATATAATAACATATATAAAAATAAATAAAATATTAAAAAATTCTTTTGACGTTTCTTTCTTTCTTTTGTATTTTGATTCGCAAATTTGGCAAAGAAAAATTTGCTAGTTGAAAAGTAAGCAAAAATTTCAAAAGAGAAAACAAAAAAATTGCCAAATAACAAATATATAAAATTAATGTAAAAGGGAGGGATTGAATCTACTCAAACTTCTTAAATATTAACATTAATACATTAATTCATAAACAATTTTTTATTTGCCTAATTATCAGCATTCTCTTGTAAACTACCGGCCAACATTTTTAAAATTGTTTTGATAATTAGTATGTTCCCGTACTGTAAGAATCTACTAATTTGTACAATTTTTTCGATATCATAAAGACAACATTGTTCAACAAAGTGTTCCAGTACTTTTTTTAATAGTAAAGCTAGTAAAAGGGAAACATTTCAAAATCTCTCTCAGAGTACGAAATAATTTGAAAAGTTCGGGAACGAAAATCTAGTAAATATGTCAAAATTAGATGGCAATACTTCAAGATCAACATAAAGGGCTAAGCAGAATTCTCGCGTTGAGCCATCCGTTGCGTTATGTGTTATCGAAAATACAACAACCACAAGGAACCGATAACACAAACGCTCGAAGTTGATGTGCGCTGCGCTTCGGAGTTAAATATATTTTAACTTTTTGCGTGCGTTAACGCGATAACAAAAAACGCTCAACGCGAGCATTCTGCTTAGCCCTTAACAGCCAATCAGTAGGCATTGCTGTATATAATTTTTACTCACCCAAATTTCTCGAGTAAAAAGTTTACAAAGAGAACGTCATTTTGTTTTCAGGAAAGGTTTTCGAGTAAAAAGTTGCAGAACTTGTAAAATTAATATATTCATTTAGGTTCTGGAACAGAACTAATATGAATTCAACTATATCAAGTAGAATGCATAACTATAAAAAGTTATTACAAAGCCCTTAATTTTCAGATTTTTCAATAAAAAAAAATTAGTTAATATCAGCACTGAGCAACGAAAAACCGAATTTTTTAATACTTTTTAGAACAAAAACAGCATAGCATATGGTATGTTCCGTGTTGCAAGAATCTACTACTTTTTACTACGATAACGAATTTTCCTTTATGATATCGAAGAAAATAGTAAAATCTGGTAGATACTTGCAGTACGGGAACAGACCAATACTATGGTGTTTTCGTGCTTTGAAATTTATTTTATTATGGTAAATCATGGTACAATTATAAAAGGTAACAGCAAATACCAGCTGATTTGATTCCAACGTAATACTAGTGTCAATATGAATTTGACAAATTATGTTTTTAATAATCACCCAGCAGGAAAATTAGGAACGCATACAATTTGAAATTGTTCTTTATTAATTGTGCTCCCGTTTTCAATTTACTCAATCTGCCTGCTGGGAAAGTTTGACGAAGCAAATCTTTCTTCATGGAATAACTCGCAATTCCCAGCATTTTCATATGTGTTTCACATATAAATGGCAATGGCTCAATTATACGAAAGTTGTGGAAACGATAGAAATATAAATTTGATAGATTTTCATTCATGTTTTTCAAATTTTCTTTCGAGGATTCGAATATATTACATTTTCAAAATAAATATAATTTGTTTATTTTTTTTACATTTTTCTGTCAAATGACGTTGACACTAGTATAACTTACAACAAAAAATTTCCATGTGGTTGTTGTATCGTTTGTTGTACAACAACACTTGCTGTTACCTTCTATTATTATACCATGATGGTAAATTATGAAAAATTATACAATCCTAAAGGGGGAAGCACATACGAGGTTTCAGGCATGGTCTCTTAAGTTGGCTTTGTATGAAATGACAATTTATAAAGAAATTTCAGGGTCAAACTTGATTTTGGACTTTCTTTTACAATAAAAAAATCCAACTTAACATGCCAATCTTGAGGGCCTCTTATGTGTTTCCCCCCCTTCAATCATGATTTACGTTTTGGAGTAAATGCGATTTTATACGTTTTGGAATGGTTATAATTTTCTAACTGAATGTTAACAGAGACAAGCCCTTTGGAGTAAATAATAGTCCGAATTTACTAATATTTACAATTTTTTCGATATTACAAATGAAACGTAATTATCGTAACATGGTACAATTATAAAAGGTAACAGCAAATCCCAGCTGATTTGATACGTAATACTAGTGTCAATATGAATTTGACAAATTATGTTTTTAAAAATCACCCAACAGAAAAATGAGAAAGATGTGGAAGCGATAGAAATATAAATTTTATAGATTTTCATTTATGTTTTTCAAATTTATTTTGAGGATTTGAAAATATTTCATTTCAAAATAAATATAATTTGTTGATATTTTTTTTGTTTGTTTACATTTTGCTGTCAAATGACGATGACACTAGTATAACTTACAACAACAAATTTCCATGAGGTTGTTGTATCCTTTGTTGTACCTTATATTATTATACCATGTTATCGTAATTAAAAATGTTTACATTCTGCAATTTCTGAAACAGACATTTGTAAAGAGTATACACAAGGACATATTTTGGAACCTTCCCTCAGAACGATTTTCCGCTTATTTTTGACTTGAAAATTAAAAAAATAAATGAAAATTCATAAGAAAATACATCAGTATAAATGTTAAGTGTGTGACTTCCGTCATAATGTAAGTGTCACATCCAACATCAGTTTATGGCCATAATAATGAGTACCAATTACCAACTACTCTATACCACGGTTGAACTCGTAACTCGTATTTATACGTGTCGTATTCGTTTTACGTGTCACTTCATATTTACGAAGAAACGAAGAAGAAGGTATTGTTGAGAGTTTTAACACTTTTAATTTTCACATAAAAACACTTCTTTTACAAAAATAACAGAAGAAATCAAATAAGAATTGTGTTAAAATAAAAGTGTGTAACATTAGAATTGATTTAATATAATTGTGTTTTTGTTAATGTTTGTTTTTCTTCTGTGTGAATAAATTATGTATATTTAAGTATATAGAGATATAAACAATTGCAACATGATTATTAATTACAGTTTTTATTTATTTCCAACCTTTTTTTCAGACTTCGGTTTTTGTCTAAATTCCCTTGAAGAAAAACAAGAAAAAAAAAAAACAACGAAACAATGGCCCCACCACAAAGAATGCGAGTCGCCAACGAAAAGGCCAGCAAATACATTACAATGCGTGGAAATGTACCAAAATCATCGGTAAGATTATTACAAAAAAAATGTTACATCAATAGTAGAGTAATAACATATATTTTCAATAGTTTCGAGATTGTAGCAGGAATCGTCGTATAACAAAGTTGAAGGGAATATCTTAGAAAGATGTAGAACAAAAATATGTTTCGGTGGCGAAAGTGCCACGCCACAACAAGTTTTCTTGTTATGTGCGTGTGTGTATTTGTTGTTTTATTTATTTTTTGTTTGTAAATGGTTTTTGTGTGTTACTGCTATTGTATTATTGAATTTGTTATCATGTTACCAATATTACGACCGATGTTTTATTATCACTTTTAGGTAACTGAACTTTTAATCGCGAAGATAGGACAAATTTTCAGTTTCAAGGGAGCGTGTTTTGAAAAGTTCTCAAAATGCATCGTATCGTTGTTTTTGTCATGTGGACATAATATATGCACACTTGACTGTGAGAAAATTGTTACATGTAAGAGTGTTTTAAGTCTTACGATAAGAATTTTCATTCCCTATAGGAAAATGAATTAGTTTATAACCAAATTTAAACTAATTTTAAAATAATCGCTACTAGTCCATTTATCGATTTTTTTTCTTTAGACCAACTGACTTAATATGGCGATGAACTCATGGCAGTAGTCAATTGTCCATGCCTGCATTACTTTTCATCTACTAGTTAAAAAATACTTATGTTTGACTGATTTATATTTAGCATGCAAATATTACTTATCGGTCTAAAAGAAATTACTTTATAGGGAAACGCACCTAATTCCGGTGTGCCAATAGTCGGCATCTTTTTTATATAACTTCAAAAAACTAAAAAAATCCTATAACTAAATATCAAAACTACCTTGAATAATCTTTAATAACACTGCAACCTATCTCTGTATAAAATTTAATCCACCTAAGTACATTAAGTTTGTCAACATTAGCGATAATTCATGTTTCTTAAGAAAAAATTAGTGGGCATGTCGATTTCAAAAGACTTGTAACTGTATTAAAATTGTATATTTTTCAAAAGGATCTTCTTCGTTTTTGTAAAGAACATAGAGGAGAATACTTTAGAATTTAAAATCATTAAAAAATATTTGTAATTATGATATTTTTATCGATGCCGTCCTTAGGAACAAACATTTTAAAGGTTTTCCTATAGTGGGAATATGGGTGAATAATAAGCATCTTTTTCATCATTTTGTTTAAAAATTAAAAAAAATTTTATATTAGTGCTCTAAATAACGATTAATTTATAAAAAAATCAGTTTTGAGTGGTTTTACATAATGGAAGAAATTGTTTAATCTTAAATTGTTTAACCTCTGAAATGCCTTATTTGGATGGAGAATTCAATAACAGGTTCCCAAACTCGGCACAATTTTTTTTAATTGTAATATTTTGATAAATAATATCATTTTATATAACTTTTTCAATACAACACTGATGGAAACGTCCGATAATAATAATTTATTACTGAAAATAGCAGACAAATCGATTAAATATATATTTTTTGTTTTGCCCCGTGTTGCAATTGTTTTCATTTATTAGCTCTGTAAGGAATACAGAAATTCATTCATTCATAGGCGAGTTTACTTCATAGGCGAGTTTACTTGCGGCAAGTCTTGGTTTGCCGGAGAGAGGGCAAGGAGAAATGAAATTAAAAAAAAAATTGCTCGTACCGGAAATTTTCTGGCAATTCGTTTTGTGTATTTTGTTTGTAGTGCCAGTAATTTGAAATACCAATCCAGAACATTGTCACAAAATATCAAAAAAAAAAATATATTTTTGAAACCGAATTGCCTTGTATAGACGCTTGAAGCAAGTTCAAAAGAGAACGATAAGAATTGCCGCAAGTAAACTCGTCTAATATAAATCAGGACTTGTTTACCATAAGGTCTCCATTAAATGTTATAAGACATCTCTACTTGAATATACCAATTTGCATGGATTTTGATGTATATTCTTTTGTATTACTTACAATGATATTATTGTTGCATAGCTGATTTACTTAATTATTTTTTTATATGCTTTGCTGTGATTTAATGTTATAATTTATATTAATAATTTATTTATGTTTTGTTAAGATACATCTATTTGGGAATATTTGAAATAATGTATGTAAAAAACAATATAATATAAGAAAATGTCAGAATACCCTATTAATCACATTTTATATCTTGGTAAAACTACTCTGTAATTGTGGTAAAATATTTGAGTTTTTCAACCTCCATTCTTTACAATTAATATGTGTAATTAAAATATTATTGTTTTTGGAACCTTGCTACGGCTGCATAACGGCTCCTATAATGTAATTACATATTTACAACAAATCTAAAACAGATGAAAATCAATTTTTTTTTTATAAAACAACAACAAATGTAGTTAAAATAAAATTCAAAGGTAAGACTTATTGGATTTTAGAAGATTTGGTTAAAATAAATTTCAGTCTTAGTATAATTAATATTACGGAGTTGGCGTATTTAATTTTCTAGTGGTCCGGGGAGTATGCACTATGATTCCCAATTTTAACATCGTAGCATTAATGAGATGTTTATTAAAATCGCTATCATCGTATGCGAAAGACAGTGTCAGATGACTGGGACATTAATGCCCATCTCTGCGTGTTCAATGCCAATACTTTTTTTTAGCTCCCATACAACAGAATCGTCTAAATATTTTAGACTTTAGCTACATTTTTAGTGAAAAACTGCTGTTAAAAAATTCTGATAAAATGTCTTACTATGTGAGAATAAATGTATTTATGCATTAATACATTTTGTTTAACACCTATATTATTTAATGTCATTAGGACATATGTTTTATATTTTATCATATCTCAATAATCATGTCTTCCTTTTAATTTTTATTTACTTTTAGAAAACAAAGGAAAATCAATATCCCGTTGGACCTTGGCTTTTGGCACTCTTCATCTTTGTCGTTTGTGGATCGGCGATTTTCCAAATCATCCAATCAATTCGTGCTGCGTAAATAATTAATGAGTGAACGCCACACACACACATTTAGGAATCAGCTAAGGATAAAATAACCCCATATAAATTTAAATAATCATAACAAAACAGTCCACAACAGACACCTAAGTTATAAGACACAAACTGAGAATTTTACTTCAAAAATCGTTTTAGCCAAATATGAAATTACAACAAAAACATAACACAAACACACAAAAGGAATCACGAACGAAGGGTTAAGTTCAAATATTCTACTGACGTTTATTTTAATTGAAAAATGAAAAAACTAAACAGCTTCTTGCTTTCCAATCAACTCTTAACCGTTTTTAGACATTTGGAAATTTATATTTGTCGTGTTAAAAGAAAACAATTACATTCCTATTTGGGAAAACAAAAAGAATTTTGTAATATTTCCTCAATGTTCGGTTATTACACAGTTCTTTGCGTCTTTTGTTTAAAGCGATTTGATTTTTTCCGTTCATTAAATACTAAGAGTTAGTAGTTAATAATTATAAAACAAAACAAAAAACAACTCAAAATATTATATTTTCTTTTTTGTATAAAAACAATGTGCATGAAGATATATGTAATATGAAAATGTTATAATATAAATATGTATATTAATTTTTTACTCAATAAATATTAGAAAAACAACAACATTTAATTCTTTTGCATTATTTTATTATTATTGTTCTCAGATATTTTCCATGAGCTGAAATGAGACAATATAAAATTACACAAAAAATTAACAGAGAGTGTTGTACAACAAACGATACAACCCCATTTCCATAACAGAGGGGTCTACGATCCCAAACGACCCGAGTTATACTCGGCCAACGTCTGTCACCTCAGTCCATTGTGTAACCTTGATATCCAATCATGGAAATAATGGCTGTGGATTTATATGGTAGCAATATTAGGACATTGACCTAAATTGACAATTTTCTGCATATATGTCAGCCTCCAATACCCCATAATGAGAAATTAGTTACTTTGTTGGGCCTACAAAATATACCACGACTTGGACCTATATTATTTTAATGAGAAGATTTGATAAATATCAAAGTCCTCAAAATACAGAATAATATGGGCTATCCCGAAATGGATCCACATATTGATCATTTTTGGTAGGGACATTTTCTACTCGATGATAATCCAAAATATTAAACTCTTCTACATATTACATATAAGGAGGCACCGTTATATGACTACCTTCACTCAATTTTCTAAGGTGCTAAACCTCTAGATTTAGCAGACTTCACTATCTCGTGTTATAACACATTTTCAGAACCAGTTTTATCAGTATTTATTGTTAAGTAATACATGGACTTCAGAACAATACACCCCATATGAGTACGAACTCGACAGTAGAATCAAGTCCGTACTCTGGCAATTAGGTTTGCCGGCTATATATATATATATATATCCCCCAATTAAAACAACAATAAAATACATATTTTTACATTATATTCAAATGTTTTTTCATTATCGTATTTTGGTATATTTTTTCTTTCTTTATTTTAACAAAAAGGTGGTAATTAATTATCCATTCACAATACTTTTTTTATTGGTCGTTGGATCGAGTGTATAATTTTTATCCTAATTCCATATTATTTTTATGCGTAGCGTATATTACTTAATCTAATATCAATTGTATTTGTATTCTGTATATCCCGATTATACAGAACTTCATCTTCTTTCGGCAGTTTTTATGTTACTCGCTCGTGTTACATTTGTACGGGCACCACGATTCGTTGTTTTCGATTGGGCTTGTGTCGGCGTAACAACACTTGCGGCGGGTACTGTCGCCCCGACAACTGGTTGCACTGGCTTGCTTACAACTTGTACACCACTGACACCCATCGTCTGTGGCCGGTTGCCATTGGTGCCAACAACACCGGTTGCCATTTGCTGCGGCTGATTGACCACCATATTTGGAGCAGTACCCGGCGTCATTTGAGTTGGTGTCATAACCATACCAACTTGCGGTACTGGTCCTCCAGGTACGGCACCAACTTGTTGCTCTGGACGTTTCGGCTCACTCATATTAATCGACTCATTGAATGTCATGCAAAATTCACCGATCTTATACACTTCACCATTCTTGCCGGAGTACAGAGTCAAGCAGTGTCGCCAAATGGACGCATAGCCTTTCGTTAATTTGATTATATCACCAGGATTGATAAGTTTCCCCGGCTCATCCCATATACTGACATTAATGCAGGCTGTATGATCGCCGACTTTGAAGTTTCTAACTTCACGGTTTTCCTTTGTTACAGTGGCATTGCCAATTTCCAGGACAATGAAAATGACATTAATATTTTTAAGGCCGGGTTTAATGTCTTTAATAGGAATGCACTCCCCGTTATACATCGTCTCGTAATTTGGTACAAAACACAGAGATTTGGTTTGCTCCCCAACAGAAGTTGTCTGTTGTGTTGTTCCGAAATGAAATGAATAAGTTCAAATGAACGATCGGACCTATTTTCAAATAATGCGAATAGATTGGATAGAATAGAATGGCCGACGAAGGACGAGCATAAGAGAAAATGTGTTTACGGATGAGTGTGATGCATAAGGAAGACTTAGGCTGGATTTAAACATGTGACACAGTTGCACTAAATTCAAACACATTTTTCGAAGAATTCGAATGTGTATAATAAAAAACAAAAAATTGAAATACATGCGAACGTATGTCATGTATGTGCGGGAACTTACGCTATTGATTTTTACCAGTTGTTTTGGGAGTTTTTAGTGGTAGAAGTGGAAAAGTCTTGGTAACCCTGCATTTACTAGGGACAGAACAGTTGGAGACATTGGAATAAAAATTAAAGTTGTCTTTATGACGTATGTAGGTGTCCAATCATGAATGAAAATATTTATTGAATGACAATAGAATTATACAGTTTTCATTTTTTTAATGTGCAATCCAAGATTTATTCATAAGGTTAATAAGCAGACAAATTCATGCCTTAGTCTTCCCTTGCTGTCAACATATTAACCGCGAAATACCAACCAGAACAGAATAAAAACTCAAAATATCTTTTAGGAAATCGTAATGATACAATTTTGGTTCGAATAAAAATATTTTTTGTTTATTTATTCTTCAAACAATAAATTTGTCAGTCAATGAAGACTTCGAATTCGCCTCCCTCTTAACCTTATGTTTTAATCCTTGGTTTAATCCAAGGTTTATTAATAAGGTTAACCGGCAGGCGAATTATTGCCTTAGTATTCTCTTGCTGTCAACTTTTTAACCGCGAAACAGAGATGGCCTGTCAGAAACAGTGACGTAAATGACATACATTTCCGACGTATAATACATACGTCAGAAACGTCGGAAACCTACCCAAATCCATTAGGTTTTTGACAAAATAGCTATTTCCTTTAATCAATTTGGAAATTACGCATGCTTTACTCAAATCAATAAAAAATTTGAAAATTTTCTTCTCAAAAAAAATTTAGAAATTTTTATCAGTTCTAGCAAGGAATAGTCAGATATATGTAAAAATAATATATATTCTTGAAAATAACCTTATTTGCTGATAATATTGAAATAAACGACGTTTACTACATTTATTACATTTTATACAGGTATATGACGTTTTCGACGTTTACACCTTTTTGACGGTCGAAAACCTAAAAATTCGTCACACGGACCATCCCTGCCGCGAAATACCAACCAGAACCAGGCGTCAAAAGTCAGCCCAAAAGATTATAGGCACATGGTCATTTCCACTTAGGCCATCAAGGTTTTCTGCTTCTTATTATATTCGCAGTTACTCAATAAAAATATATTGCAGTTCCCATTATCCGCAATCGTGGACGTGTCGAATAACCCTTTTCAGAAAAATCAGTACTTCCAGAGATAGGAGTTCGAAACTTCCAAAAATAATAATAATAATTTTTATTAAATATCATTAAGATTTGTACTTCGTTTTATTTATATTATTTTTTTGTGAGAGAACTTTATAATTTTGGAGGTATAGTGTTCCAAAATTTCAGCATAAAAAAAAACTGGAAATAGGAATTACTTATCTTTGGATCTTGTGCTCGTTTTGTAATATTATCTTCCAGTATTGGGAGTTATCTTTTGCCGTACCTATTGATTATATTTGCACTGTCATAAAGATTTTAGTAGTTCCTGTTGGTTGGATTTAAATGATTAAAGGAACACAGCTAATGTTATAAAAAGTCAGTTCACTAACAATAAAACTCCTTGTACATTATAACTTTTTACCGGGTTAACCTACTTTATGAGGATTTATTTGACGTATATGCAAAGGAATATACTAACACGCACTATAACTCGTTCGGTCATCTATATAACGCTATATAATCATTTTTTACAGACCATTCACAATGAAGTTGTTGACACAATACACAAATATTATATGGTGTGAACATACCTAATAAAAATTGCTAGCGAATTGGTTATTCTTCAAGTAATTCACAATAATGTTGCAAAAAAAAAGAAAAAAAACACTTGTTTACTTGGTCAGGACAACATACTCCGCACTCATTACTTTATTTTAGTTTATTATGTCCGGCTTTGTGAAGGGCGTTTGCGAAGATCTCTGCCCTCAGAATGAGGCAAAATTGTACGTTGGACTGTTGGACATACCAAAAGCATCTTTTTAATTTTCCCTTTCATTTCTACAGACGAATACGGGAGAAGTTACTACACTATTTTGAGTATAAAAATGGCCAGAAACATGTACCCGGAAAGTTGGTTAAATGTTTCTCCAGATCGGCAGCTGACAAGAAAATCCCACGGCCTCAAGATATGAGAACCGAAGGTTGTCTACAAAGATGCGTTGAATACTTGTTGCGCGAGTAAGTTCAAATTCGTTCACATTCCTTTAAACGGTACTAAAGAAGAAATGTTTGCATTGTAGAATTGTCTTGGATAACCGGAAACCGTATAACATTGTTTACGATTTCATTTTCGATCGTCTACGATCGGTGAGACAAGAAATCGTTATGCAGGACTATAACGCTAAACAAACGATAAAATTATTGGAACCTATGATTATGTTCCTGTGCTATAGCCGTTATAAACTTACCGAGGAAGCTATAGACAATTTTGATCCAAAAATATGCGAACAACACCTACAGGAGTGTCTTAAACGTGCCCTGGTGTGCTATGATGAAATTCCAACGAAAGAATTGAATCTATTGGAAATACGTAGACGAACATTTATTGAATCATTATATCAAATATTTAATTTAGGATCTCTCGAGGCTATGAAGCGCTGCCTTACCGTAGATGAAGACATTAAGTATGTGTTTATTGAGTGTAAGATTCGTATCCATTTTATTTTTTAATACAATATATTACAGATCTGAACCGTTATTTGAGTTGGTATTCAAAATTTGTCTTAGCCACATACAAGGGAATTTGTATCGAGTCTTAAATGGAATACAGGGTCTTCCTCATATTTTATGTGCAATAGGATCGTTAAAGTTACCAACTTTAAGAAGGTGTGTATGAGGAGTTCCAATTAATTTTCGTAATGTTTTAATTGTTTACAATATTTTCTTTACAGACAATTATATCATGTATTCGCCCATGCCTATAGCAGTAAGCAACTGCTAGTTCCGGTGGATTTCGTATTACGCCTATCTGGCCATGCCAGTAAATATGAGCTATTTGAAGATTGTAAATACTACAATATAAATCTGAGTGAAGATAAGCAATCTTTGCATTTTCAAAAGACAGATTTTAAAAATGATTTAGCAATTCAAAAATGCAAACATGAACAATTTGTTGACATCAAAATCAAAAATATTTATTTACCCGAAATATTACTGTTAAAAAAATTTTAAAATTTACTATTTTTATAGAATAATTGAGAGCGAGTATACTATATTAATAATAGTAGAATGAATATGAAAACTATTATGTAAATATATATTTCTATGAATATAAAAATGTATTTGTTTATTTTTGTGAAATTTTCAATAGCTTGTATAAAATTTAAAGAACTTAGAAGGACAAATTCACTATAGGTCAGTTCTTCAGTTGTGGCGTGTTGAAGTTTTTGCTGGTTAATCGCGGTTATTGCAAGATATTTTGAGACGGCATTTCTTCAGCCAAATCGGATGAGGAATTTTTTTTAAATATCCTACTTTATTTCCAGTCCTTGTGCGCCTTTTTCATATTCACGAGACATCTCAATATTCTACCAAAATGTTGCTCATTTTATTTTATATAGGGTCTTTAAATACAAGAAATCAATATTCGAAAGTTTTCATCGTCCTTTCCACTTTTACCCGATCCTAGCTCAGAAACGTTGTACAATCATACACGAAACATAATGAGTGCAGTGTCTCATCTCGGATTTTTCAAAAATTTCACTAAAATATATGACTTTTAAAGGGGAAGTCCATACTTCCCAGATAAGTGCCTCTGATGGCTCGTCTCCCAGATCACAAATGATTTTTAAGGGAAAAGTCCACATTTTACCAGATATGAGACTCTATATTTCCGAAATTCTTAACAAATAGTATATATAAGACAAAGATCTAACCAATACATAAAAATATAGTTTACATGGACCACTTTAAATGTTAAAATAATTTCCTGTAGCAAACATTGCAGAATAATTCATTACATAAAAATAAGTTATAAATTTAGTTCAGTACCTGTATGATTTATCCAAAAACTAAGAATATTTTCGAAAATGTCTACTTTTACCCACCTGTAGTAACACCCTAGAATCAAATATTGTTGTCGGTAGGCTTGGCACCCAAACATTATATCTGCCCCCCAAAATCTGTGTATTTTAAAAAGTATCTAATCTTTGGAATTGTTATGAGATTCTACTGTGATTTTGTTGGCGTGTGTATGTATAACAGGGGGCAGTTTCCGCAAAAAGACGCAATAATAAAAACACTCTTTCCACAGTTAATGTATTTTCCACCATTGACAGAACTATTATTTTACAACAAACATTAATACCACCCACTTGTTTTCTTGTTTTGCTAACAAATTTGCGCCAAAATGTCAATTGACAAATGAGCTTCATCGGCTTCGATATTACATTTTTGTTTCTTTCCTTTTGCACTCTTTTTCGTTCCTTTGTTCAGTGTCATGCTATTGTGAATGGCCGCTGGCGATGAAAACATACAGCTGTTCCCCGTGTATCAAACACGCATTCACAATAGCCGAGTATTAAGTATTGGGTACATTCGTTCGAGGAAATAGCATTATTTTGGCATTAGTGTGAGAATACAGGAAAAAATATATAGCCATTTTTTGGACAATTCCGATTTTCCGCCATATTATATTTACCGGCTTTTTTCAAAATATTTACATTTTTGCAATGTAAACAAACTTTCCAATACGTTAATTTAAACAATTGGTGAATTTATTCGAGCCCAGCTATAAAAGCGAGAAGTGAAAGGTTGCGGTGGCAGTGGCAAAGAACAAAAAAAATGCGTAGACAAACAACACAGAAAACGAAAACCAACAACGCGTCTGCCAAACCATAAATACGGAGAAAAACAAAGCGAAATAAAAACAAAGTTCCGCCTAAGAAGCGTCGTAGTGTTGATAATTGCCGTCGATTCCCAGATAGTTTTGTGCAAAGAACGAAGAACAATTAATTCCATCAAGTACACAATTATAGAGTGGTCACATAATGAACATCCACAATTTCGCTTTGGGCTCTGGCAGCTCGGCGCCTATTGTGAATAATCTCTCGTTGGCTTCTGCTGCAGTACCAGTGACACATAGTGCTACAACATCACCTCTATACTTTACACACATCTTACCTCCATCCACGACCATCATTGAACAGCCGTACACGTCCGATTTGGAGGAGCCCATTACCACCTGTGGCCCCGTGGGTGAGAGTTTTCTCATCGAGGAAATAATCGATGATCGGGACGAGGAGGGCAACATTGTTGTCGATCCGGGTGAATTTTTCATATCGGGTGATAACATCCAATACTATGCAGTTCCTGAACCTATGCCACCACAAATGATTATGCAGCCCTCGCCTGCAGATGCCCTACAGGCCTTTGCCGAGAGCGTTAATGTCGGCGAAAGCGTCATTCTGCCCACAAACTCGACACAAGTGTTTGACCAGTATGTAGCGGCGCAACTGAACTTGGGAGCCGCCCAATTCGGTATGCCAGCCGCAATGATCCCTTCGCATGTCAAAATGGAACAGCCCGATGCCAATGAATTGTCGAAAGTCGTAAAGCAAGAAGTGCCCGAACGGAATCATATGCTCTGTAGCAAAGAACGCAAGGAGAAACTGTTGCAGAACAGCCAGCGGAAGAAGCCGCACACGGCCAAGCGATGGAAACAAACCAAAGTACCGATTCGAATAACGCAGGATGAGTTCAATGTTACCTTATGGTCGGCATTAAATTCCGAGGATGAGGATGAAGAGGATCAGGTCGTGGACGACGAAGAGCATTTGGCGGAACAACATTTAACAACAGTTCAGGAAAACACTACCGATTCCACAGAGGACAATCAACAGTCCATTGGCGAATCAGATACCACAAACAGAATGCTGCTCGAGGAGTCCAGCAGCATGATGCATGTAAACGAAGGACTGTCACCCTCGGAATATGTCATTGTCCCTGACCCGTTCACTGGTGACATCGTCGAAGAAGAAGTACAAACCGCAGGCGCTGTGGAAGACATCAAGTGTGAAGATACCTCATTACAAAACACCGAATATCAATTGCCGATGGTGGCACCGTCACCGCCACATCCGCAGGAACTCTTACAGCCCAAAGAAGAGAAACAGCCACAGTTTGCCGCAACCAGCACCTCCAGCCGCAATCTTCAACTAGTTGATCTGACACAGCTAATTACCTTCAAACAAGAGAATTCTATGGGAGACGGCATGGGTCCGACGGTGAAACTGAAAGGATCCCAAAATCTGAATAAGCAGCAAAGGAAGTCTCATGCGTCGATCAGCAATGTCGTTACAACGGTGGCAGCCGCACCGTCCCCACCAGTAGCATCCACAGCGCAACAAACGCCTGCAACAACACAGCCATCGAGTATTGTTTCCACAACAACCACCGCCTCAGGAACAGTCACAGTTTTCCGTTGCACATATCGCGATTGCAACAAAGAATTTCGCAACCATTCTGCCATGCGCAAGCACTCAGCCACTCATGGTCCGCGCGGCCATGTGTGTGCCGAATGCGGCAAGTCGTTCGTTGAAAGTTCAAAACTGAAGAGACATCAACTGGTGCACACGGGCGAGAAGCCATTCGAGTGCACATTCGAAGGTTGTGGCAAACGCTTCTCCCTCGATTTCAACCTCCGCACCCATGTGCGCATACACACTGGCGACCGACCATATCACTGTCCCATCGAGGGATGTCACAAATGCTTTGCTCAGTCTACCAATTTGAAGAGTCATATGTTGACCCATTCCAAGCCCAAAAGAAAATGGCCGCGACCAGTAAGTAACAAGCCGATCATAGCACGCTATGGCCGCTTAGAATTGGGAGAAGATCCAAATGTGGTATATTTGGGGACAGACGAACAATATGGTACTATTTTAGAGAATTCATAAGTCACCGAATTGAATGGGGGTCAAATTCATCACATGTACGTACGAGGTCTGAAGAAGAAGCAGATTTTCTGCCACGGGTTAATCAATGTAATAATCCCAAATTATTTGGTATACAAATGAAAGTTCTTACTTAAGCTCCAGAAAAAAATTAGTTTCTGTTTTTTTTTAGAATTTATCACTACCCCACTCCCCGATTTTGCACCTGCAAATTTTCCGAAGCCCCATAATTATGCGTAATGATTTCATGTTTTTCTATTTTGGAAATATTTCCCACATAGAGTAATTTTGGAAATGAAACTTTTTTCTTTTACACGTATTTTACCCGTCAATAATTCTGTTCGGAAGTTATGAAGAAGAAAACAGTCAGACAAACAAACAAACAAATAAAACGTAAAGAATACAAATATTTTTACATAACACATAGTGTGGTAGCGATTTGTAATGTTTTAACTAGAATGTAATAACTATAATATAATGATAATAATATGTAATTGTATTTTTATAACGGATCACTGAATTAATAATAATAAAATAAATAAATAAAATGTATTGATATAACTGAAATGGATGTAATTTGTAAATAAAAACAAATATTGTAATAAAATCATTTATTCATCCGAAATAATTTTTAGGAAGTTAGCCAGAGGTGTGTGTAAGAAGTTACAAACACTACGCCAATATGGACTTGACAACTGAAACCTTACGTCGTTTTAAATGGTCTATTGGCGTTAATTCTTATAAGAGTCTTATTCAGGAACCTTGCGTTACATTCGGCTTAATGCTGAAAATTTAGTTACATATTCGATGTGTGATGTCACCGAGAAACCGCAAAAAGTTTGCGGCAACCACCACATCCAGAAATCTTCAACTTGTTGTTCTGATACAGCTAATTGCCTTCAAACAGGATAATTTTATGAGAGACGGCATGGGCCCGACGGTGATGTCACCGAGAAACCGCAAAAAGTTTGCGGCAACCACCACATCCAGAAATCTTCAACTTGTTGTTCTGATACAGCTAATTGCCTTCAAACAGGATAATTTTATGAGAGACGGCATGGGCCCGACGGTGAAACTGAAACAGACTTGAATCAGCTTTTTCGTATATAGTCTAAACCAGGAACCTTACGTTCAATTTTGCTTAATGAAAAATTGGAACTAACGCTCTTTGGCCACCGACTCCAAAACTCGGTAGTAAGTGTTTTTTCCTTCGCCTTATTACCACGATGACATTTTGAGTTTACTGAGTAATATAACAGTTGCAGTTTGGTGATTAGTGTAAGAATGGGATCACAAATTAAACTGAAATTTCTCATGTCCATTTTGGAAAATAACTTTAATACTGAGGATGAATATTTGTCACTATTTCCAAAAATGTAACATAGCTGAGTCCGAGGTTTAACCCTTCACAAATTGAAAACTTTTGAATTAAATGGAATAGTTTTCCCAACTTAACAAAATATTGGCCATAGAAATGTATTTGTGTGGAAGCGATGGCTATAGTCGGACGGGGCCGACCATATGATACCCTACACAACTTCCACGAAAATCTAACTTTCTGCGGTACTACATTCTGAGCTTGGGCAATACTTCACGATATTTGCACCCTCTTGACCGACTAGAGGTCAACAAATATTATTATTACTAATATTCAGTACAGCACTTCAAATTCTTTGTCCATATTTCCTTGACCGTGGGTTGTTTTGTAATATTCGGCTTTAAATTTTTGCCTATAGATAGACCCGAAAAACACAAAAAAATGTTTTCGGTCCACTTCATCCCAATATCATTATCTGATCATCACCGAAAATTATAGGCCTTGACCATACCTGGATCCTCTTAGAAAAATTTCAAATCGATCCGCGCTATATTTTCGCCCTCTAATGTAGTAATGGGTTACTAAATAATATATAAATACGTAAGCACCTGTAAATATTTACGTGTAACTCCCACATCCGAGTACATACGACAATATAATTGGTATCAATTTAAAGGCCAACGACTGCTCTGGGATATACTATCAATTTCTCGGGTCCTTCAGGGGTAAATATATACGCTATTGAATACAAATTTTGTCATCGTTCACACAAAATTCAGGGTCCATTTGACTTGCTAAATATTGACCGGTCTTTATCAAAACAGGCATGCTTATTCTTTGACCCGATCCCCTTCACCATGTAGAAGTTTGAGATGTTTGGGCCATAATTGTGACCTGTGGAGCAACCAGAAAAACCCAAAAAATTAAGTATTTGGTTCATTTCATCCCATAAAAATTAATCGGTCTTTACCAAAAACAAAAGGGGTCTTCATTGGCCAGAACCGGTCCTGCATGCGAAATTTCGTGAAGATTGGTCCATAACTTTGGCCTATATCGTGTTTACAAAATATAATGGACAGGCGGACGGACGGACACAAATTTCTATATCGACTCAGCTAGTCGAGATATGACGATCGGTATACTTAAAGGTGGGTCTAGGACCAATATTTCGCGGCGTTGCAAACTCTTGGGGCTACACAAAGCTATAATACCCTGACAACATAGTTGTGTAGGGTATAAAAAGGAATTGCTAATCCTGAGTACTTGAGAAGAGGATAATGGAGGGCGAAATTATATGCCATAGCATAACCAGGAGAGATTTTTCGCAACGTTATGGATTTTGGGAGAATAAGATTGGATTATTAATCTCGTATGTACTAAACAATTAACTTCTGTTGTTAGATGTTCGATCGTTTCCAACTCTTCCTCACATAAAGAACAATAATCCACTCCATTGACATTCCAATTGGAGGTGAGAGACCTGATTCTGCAAAAACCTGTTATTATCCTGCAGTATGTTTAATCATTTTTAGTTAGTAATAACAATGAAGTAGATCTACGTAGTGCAAATTCGTGGCAATGGATTTTATGATTATATGCCCAAGTTTCTCAAACCGTAGAACCATTTTAGTGCATTGCTCGACACCATTTAAACTTTAATTAATGTGGTGGAGGACTTTTTCGAGTTATTTGTTTTCTAGTGAGAGAACCAAAGCTAACATAGTAAAAATAACTTTTTTTAATTTTGTTAGTAATAAACCTAAATATACTATATATTCCGATAAAATTGAATCAATGCAGAAACAATTTCTACTTTTTGCACTGAGAGGTTTACATTGGAATAGTGACTTTGTGTTGCCTTCTTATACTAGCCGGTTAAAATTAATTCGATTGCCTAGAAAGTGACGTATTACGTTGAACACTATGATGGCAATTAAAATATTAGAATAAATGTTCCTTTTCGATGCAGTAGATATTATCAACCATTATACGTAGATTTTCATCGCACAAATTATTCTATGGAAGATCGACTTAGTAAAATGTGTATTGATTTCAATTCTGTGTATTCTAACGTAGACTTTTGCATGAATATAGAACTAATAAAATCTAATATAATTGTATTTTTAAATGAATAATACAACTTAAGGGGACCCCCCCCCATTCTCGGTGTCAAAAAATTTTTTGATTTAATTCGAATCTACTCCAATTCTAGAATGTTCCTACAAAATTTCAAGTGAAAATTTCAAGAACTCTTGAAGATATAGCCGATTTATTGTGTCACCATCAAGTGACGGCTAAAGGGCTTCTCAAACTTTAAACGGGTTTTTCTCAAAACGAATGGCGGGCACGATAACTCAAAAACTAATAATCCAATCGGTTTCAAATTTTGACACGTTGCTCTGGGAGTGTGTAGCTCTCGTATGAACTAGGATTAAGCCAATCGGTGAAGATCTTCCTTATTTTTTAACTTAGTTTGTGGTAAAAAATAGGCGATTTTCCAAAAAAAAATTTTCATAGTTCCGCCATTTTGTTAATTGTTGTGCGAAGTCAATAATCCTAGTTCATACGAGAGCCAGATATGTACTCTTTCTAACACCGTTGGAATTTTCGGATTCCGATGTTCCAGTGAGGAGTTATCATGCCCGCCATCGAAAATATGGACTTTTCTTTGAACCCAAAAAACAACAACAAAACAACAATAACAAATTTTGGTAAATTATTTTTCTTCGTTTCTAAATCTTCAAATATATATGTGCCAAGTTACAAACCTTAACAAGCATTGGTATTCATTTACCAGCCCATTTAAAATCTTAAAAATAAAAAATCGAAAATGGGGGGGGGGGGGGTTCCCTTAATAACAAACTGGCCGTTGAAGCAGATTTCTGTAGCTGGTTTTCTATCTCTTCTCATATTCCATCATAATGCGGATTATGGTGTGTACGCGATCCCTACGACAGGGTAGGTCGCCCCCTCGGTCGGCAGGGGTGGGAAAGTAAGGCATGGGAACGTTCGACAAAAACAAAAAATGTTTCTTTATTAAAGTTGTATTTTTAATTTAAAATATATATAATATAACAAATACTTATAATACGCAATGGCATATCCAAAACTTTGACACAGTTATAAAGAAGCCACGTCCGCACTATATGTGACTTATGCGTAGCATCATTATCCTTATTATTATTTATTTTAGAACTTACATTAGATCTTTTTATTTATTTACATTAAAACTTTTTTTACCGGGTAAACGTACTTTTTGAGGATTTATTTGGCATATATTCAAAGGAATTGACAATTTAAATCCACTGGGTTAACGAAATCCGGTACAATGTAAACGTACTTAAACAAATGGTTTTGTTAACGTCCAAATGTTGTTATTGTTGGTTCTATAAAAGCTAAGTCTACCACACCTTTGCTTGATATTACCTCTAAATCATTATAGAAATTTTTAAAATTTAACTGTTGGGATGATGTTCTGCCTTTATAGTGCTTTTAAAGTCTTGTGTCAAACTCTGGTGGTCCCATACCGTCGTCCTAATATCCAGTTGCCCGCGAAATGTTCATATTGGCAAATAAATGTAGTCTGTCGAATTGTTTCGTGACAAACTTTAACACCACACACCTCTTCGAAGTCCCTCCCAAGCGTCCTTGTGGACATTTGAGGGTTTTACATAATTTTTGTAAT